AGTGAGACCTGTGGTGAGCTGGACTTTAGAGTGCCCAAAGCTTGCGCGTGAGCTTCCATATGTTTGAATGCTCCTTGCCGTTCGGCAAGGAGTCAACAAGACAAATACGTGACTTGGAAGCTGCTGGTCTTGCAAAATTAATCACAACATCATGTATTAATAGTGGCCAAAGTCCCGATCATGACCCTACTGAAGAAAGAAGAAAATAATGAAAAAAAAAATACAATCCTCCGTTCGGCAAGGTGAAATCAAAAGGGGGGCCAGGTATTTGGAATGAGCTGGGTTTTGTGTGGCTAGGCTCTTGTGATATTGTAGCTGGGATTCTGGTTTAGAAAATTTGAGCTTCCTCTTCCTTCGGCAAGGCTGAGCTAAGGCCAGTTTGAACTTCCTCCCCTTCTGCCAGTTCTTTGTGGAACATGAAGCTGGGCTAAGAGGTAGCTGCAGGCGCAAAGGAGCCGATATCGGGTGTTGGGCAAAAGGAGCTGCCGCAAGGGTCAGAAGAAAAAAGGTTCGGGTGCTGGGGGCTGAGCTGTGGAATTGGAGCTGTGTGTGCGCGAGTCTCTGCGTGCGCAAGTCTGTGCCATTCCATTCCGCCTAGCCCTTGAGTCCTTGCCGAACGGCAAGGGTGGTCTGAAGGTTTTTGGGAGCCTCAAAATTTGATTTTCCGTGACTTGGAGCTGGCTATTTTTTTTTGATTTTTCGAAGCTGGGGTCATTCACATGAGCTGGGTGCCCTGAGAGTTCTGGGTAAGCCTCCCAATCGGCAAGTCCTACTTGAATTTCCTTCCCCCGTTGTTTTGTTTTGTTTTTTTTTGTTGTTGTTGTTTTTTTTTTTTTTTTTTGGTTTGTTGGTTCTGTTTTCTTTCTCCCTATTTTTTTTTTTTTTTTGTTTTTTTTGTTTTTTTTTTTTTTTTTGGCTGTACCTTCGGCAGGCAGGGGTTGAGGGATCAACTATATTTCTTGAAATGATGAGTTTGTGTTTGTTGCAGCGTAGGCCTTTGGCAAGCTTTGGAGCTGGGCTCGTTGGCTTGTTGTAAGGCTAGGCCCTCGTTGAATCCGCTGGTGCCTAGGTGGGCTTGGATCTCTAGACCGTAATGGGTGTCTTGAGCAAATAGCTTGGTGTGTTTGCAGAGACTGAAGGGGCTGGCCACTTGAGCTGATACCGTGAGTGGGTGCCTTGAGCAGTTTCTGAGGTGAGATTTTGTTCATTTTTGGCCTCCATTTTGTTGCTACATAACCCTTGCCGTTCGGCAAGGGTGCTTGGAAATGTTTTTTGAAGTTTTTGTTGGCTGGCCCGATTAGAGCTGGGTCTTTCGGGGTTTGGAGCTGGGCATTCCTTGTGACCTGGGTGTCTAGATCAAATCATGGCTCCTCTGTTTGTCAAGGAAAGAGCTGGGTCCTTGTGAGAATTTTGTTTTTTGTTTTTTTTTGTTTTTTTGTTTTTTTTTTTTTTGGGGAGTTAGACCTCCGGCAGGTTCAAAAAGACTGGGTGTGGGCTCATGAGGACCTAGGTCCTGCCTTGGGCTGAACCATGGATGAGCTTTAGGAATGGCTGGGCAACGAAGTGGAGGTGAAGAACCCGCACGATTTTGTTTTGCGTGGTCCTCGCCGTTCGGAAAGGACCCTGGAATATGTATTGATGGTTTTTGTTGTGACCTTGGAGCTGGGCAGTATGAAATTTCGTGGAGCTGGGCTCGGGAGGCTGGGTGCCGTGATCAAAATTTTTGGTTTTTGTTTCGCTGTGCTCGTAGAGGCAGGTTCGGAGCTGGGCCACCTTGGATTTTTTGGCAAGAAGTGAGAGCCTAGAGCTGGACCTTCGGTAGGTGTCCAAAAGGGTTTGGCCAACATTGGAGCTGGTCCCGTTTTGGCTAGGGGTTAGCTAGGATTTGGAGCTGGGCTCCGTGAGGTTTGGTTGGTCTTTGACTTGGGACCGTGAGCTGGGCCTTGGATAATCGACAAGGGCATAGGCTTTTGGCATCCTCCGTAGCCGGGCTTGCCTTAGAGCTAGGCTTTTGTGAATTTTCACTTAGCTGGGCCATTTGAGGTTGGGCCAATTTGGCAAGGCTTGGTGATTTGAGGCTGGGCAAAATTGAATTGTGAGCTAAACCTTGAGCTGGTCCCTTTTTTGCATTTCCATGGGCCTTGCCGTTCGGCAAGGTCCCTTCAACTTCCTCCTTCGTTTTTTTTTTGTGACTAATTTGAAATTAGAAATGCTGTGTAGGTACTCTTGTAACCCTAGGGCCTAGGGTTTGGGAGGGAAGGTGAAAGGGTGCTAGGGTTTCTCTTGTAACCCTAGGGCCTTATAAATAGGAACTTGGAGTGACGTAGGCATCATACTTGGAGATTTTTTGAGAAAGATTGTCAGAAAGTGAGAAGGAGAAAAAGATTTCCGGTGAGATTTTGGTGGTGGTGCAAACAAGGTTAGACCTCATTTCTCTTGAATTCTTGAAATGAAATTCAACTTTTGTATGAACATGTTGAAGAGTATGATGAACACCTTGAGCATGAGTATGAACATGTTGAATGTATGCATCTAGATCAAAAAACATGTAGAGGCTGTCCAATTTTGTGTTTTTGTGCTTAGATCCTCTTTGCATGTGCATTAGTTCCTTTTTCTTGTTTCTGCATGTTGTAGATGTCTGAGAGTGAAGAGGCCAGTGAGTATGTTTGTTCTGAAGAGGAGAGTTCCCAGACAGATAGTTTTGTAGAAGGGCTTATAGAAGCTAGGATGGGAGTTCATGAGGGGGAGATGGCTGGGCCATCAGTAGAGTCTGGGTCAGAGGCATATAGGAAGATGCAGAAGAAGTATAAAGTGTTAGAAGCCAGTGTTGATCGGGTTCTAGCCTTGGCACATACACCGGAGGTGGGCTCGAGCAATCAGACATCACCATCAGAGTCTGTGGGTATAGCCATGGTTTCAGCTTCAGAGGGGGTGGACATCCGGGTTGGTGTCCCATTGGGAAATCGGAATACACTCACAGAAGCCAAGTTGGTTGAGCTTCGGACAGATTATAGTGTGCCATCCTATGTGGGCCTGAGGTTACCTAGTGCTGCGGATGTAGTGAGATATCCTCCGGAGGGTTCAGTGATGATATTCACCGATATGTACCAGCATGGTCTCAGACTACCGTTTCATCCTTGGGTACAGATGATGCTGGCCAAGTTGGGGTATGCGCCGGGGCAATACAATCCCAACTTTTGGCTACTTCTGCATGGAGTTTACATTGCTTGGTGGTTGGTTGGGTTGGGGGAGCCAACATTTGAGCAGTTTATGTACTTGTATTCGATCTCCAAGCAACAGGGGACCTTTGGCTGGGTACAAGCCAATTGCCGGAAGGCAAAGGAGAGAGGTTACTTTATTGGGCATAAGCCGAGTACGCAGAAGTCTTGGCGGAACAGGTGGTGCTTGGCCTATGGTGATTGGGAGTGTCCTCCAGGGAAGACCGTCTCCAGAC